AGAGCGGGGAGCCCGATGCGGGACTCGATCCCAGGACCCCGGGACCATGACCTGAGCTGAAGGCAGTCGCTCAACCAACTGAGCCACCCAGGCGCCCGGTTGTTTAGTGATCTTAATGGTTAGTGGTGACAAGTTAGGAGAGCAGTCCTTTCCTTTTTAGGTACATACTAGCTAAAGGAACCAGATACTCATGCTACTGAATCAGAACACTTGCCCTGGATGGTCTTAGAGAAGTACTGAAAAATTCTTACTCTTCTGATTCTCATTATTCTTAACAAGTAGTGTTATGTTCCTTTTTCTTTATAGAAGTAGTTGATATTCCTTATTGTAAAGTTTTTAAAAATATAGGGAAACTAAAAGAAGAAAAATAAAATGACCTTAATCTCCACTATCTGGAGATTGCATTTTGGGAAATATTTTTCTTTTTGATAAAAATGGATAGACTATATACTGTTTTATAACCTTAAAACAACTCTTTTAAGTACAGAAACTATACATATTCACTCTAGAAAAATCTTTTAAATATAATTAAGCAAAAAAGAAAAATCACCCATATCCCTACCACCCAGAGGTCATCACTTAATACTTTGAAGTATAACCTTTAAGACCATTTTCTATATGTGTATATACATGTACATATTTTAATAACAGGTTCATAGTGTTCCTTTATTGATCAGTTTTCAGAATAATAGTGTCTTAATCTTCAAATATAACCAATGAAGTAATTTCTTTGTTTTATTATGAGCTAATAGATTTTTTTTGTGTATAGGATATGTTTCAAAAATTGTACTCATTATTCTTGATACTCAAATTGTCGCCTTTATGGCTTGTGGGAGCCACTCCAAATTGGCTCTTGGGCTCCTTGACATGACCCTAGTAGCCTTTGATAGCCTTCTTGCTTTCAGGCGTGACAAGATGTCCCAGACTCATCTTATACATTTCTTGCCCCATTCTTGAAAACTGCTGTCTTTAAGGAGAAGTGGTATTTATTTATTTATTAGAGGGAGAGTGAGAGAGCACGAGTGGGCAGGGGTGGGAGGGCAGAGAAGCAGAGAGACTCTCAAGCAGTCTCCACATTCAGCGCAGAGCCCAACACAGGGCTTGATCCTACAACCCTGAGATGAAATCAAGAGTCAGAAGCTCAACCTACTGAGCCACCCAGGCGCCCCCTAAGGAGAAGTAGTATTTAGAGACTATACTGTGGATACTAGGCATATTCATTGTCCCTGGTGTCATGGCTTACAGACTTTTTCAATTATTAGAGGTGTGAAATATGTGGATTTTCAGAAAACAAAACATAAATCCACAGTTCTTACTGATATCCCAATTAAAATGAAATATGATGGGGTTTAAATTCTTCCTAACATTTCATTATGAAAATTTTCAGTCTTGCAGAAAAGCAAACAGAATTTTACAGTGAAAACCCATATACCATGACCAAGATTCTTTATCACATATTTGTCCACCTAGCCATTCTTCTGTATTTTATATTTTTATATTTGTATTTCTTTTATCTGAAAATACTGGTTCCAATGAAATTAATGACATTTACTTATTTCATTTATATATATACACACACATATATAAGTATGTGCTTAACACATTCACCCACATGCATATAATATTTTAAAATAACAAATCCTAGGGGCGACTGGGTGGCTCAGTCATTAAGCGTCTGCCTTCGGCTCAGGTCATGATCCCAGGGTCCTGGGATCGAGCCCTGCATCTGGCTCCCTGCTCTGCGGGAAGCCTGCTTCTCCCTCTCCCACTCCCCCTGCTTGTGTTCCCTCTCTCGCTGTGTCTCTCTCCGTCAAATAAATAAATAAAAATCTTTAAAAAAAAAAAAGGGGGGGGAACCTCGGGCCCCATCTCAGAGTTCTGCTTTGACTCTGGCCATGCATGAGCATATTTGCTGAGCTCTCTGGTCTGGAAGAAGAGCCATTGATTAGAATTTCAATGCCTGCTTTGCACAATGTATTAGGAGGTACAGAGAACTGTCCTTAAGGCATTTGTGGGATAACTGCTGATCTCAGCTAGTGTCTTAGTCCGTGTGGGTTGCTATAACAAGATGCCACAAACAGGTTGCTTAAAAACCACAGAAGTTTTTCTCACGGTTCTGGAGGCTGGGATGTCTTAAGATGGAGGCACCAGCAGATTTGGTGTTTGGTGGGGACCTGCTTCCTGGTTCACAATCAGCCATAATCTCAAGTGCACTCAACACAGCAGAAGGGGAGTTCTAGAGTGTCTTTTATCAGTGTGCTAATCCTGTTCCAAGGGCTCTATGTACCCTCCTGACTTGATCACCTCCCAAAAGTCGCACCTCCAAATACCACCATGTTGGGGATTAGGTTTCAATGTGTGAATTTGGAGAGGGACCCAGACATTCAGTCTATGGCAGCTAGACTCTCAAGAACCTGTAGATCAGCTGGGACTTAGTCACTTAGGCACAGCAGTCTACATCCAAGCCCACAGTTGTTCCTCACAATCCTTTTGTGCTGTTTTTCCTTCTAGTGCTATTTTGGAAACTCTTAGGTTGCAAACTGTCATTTCAGATTACATTGGCACATGCTTATAACTATCATGCAGTTGAAAGGGCATGGTCTGATACCAGAATCTATAATCCACATATAGCCCTGGATTTGTGACTGTTCTTTGTTTCTTTCTTTTTGTTTTCTTCTTGATCTGTTTTTTACTCTTTGCTTTTACCTTTTTCTCCAAAGGACTTTGACTTGAGCCAGTTGCACAGGGGCCTGGATGCTCGGCCCGAAGTGACTCGCAATGATGTGGCACCAACCCTCGTGAGTGTGCCCCAGTACCGGCCCCGCCCTGCCAATCCTGATGAAATTGGAAATTTTATTGATGAAGTAAGTTAGCAAAACCAAAAGCCAACGTGCATGTCATCTCTAAACTCAGGAGCAGTTGGGTTGAAAGTGAGGAAAAAGTCTAGATTCTTTGTTTTACCACATTTTCTCCTTGCCTGATCCCTGAATGCTATATTTTATTTGTGTCTCATCTGAATTTCAGAACTAAAAGCACTTCAGACTGTTCCTAGTCAGTTTGCAATATCCATATGGCGAAACCAAGAATTGCTTGTGAGGATTTAGTAGAACTAGAAATGAAACTAAAGAGATTCAGAGGAGATCCAGTTTGGTTTCACTAATGGCTCTTTTTGCCCCTGCATCCCACTGCTGGTTGGGATGTGATATTAAATGTGTATCACAGGTCTGCCTAAGGGCCAGAAAAATAGCATCAATTTGTGTATGTTGGAAATGCATTCAGCTATGAATTCCAGAAGTTTAAACAGATATGAGGAGATTAACCTCATAAATTCTTGTTCTCGTGTTTGTTGCCACATGATCACAAGATGGCTGCCACACTTCCAGGCCTTGGGTCTGTATCCCAGTCAAGAAGAAGTAGGAAGGGCAGAGCAGAGGCCAAAAGTCTTTGTTCTAGCAAACTGTTAATGCAAGTAGGGAGTTCATCCTATATTATTGGCCAGAACTGTCACTGGCCAGAACTGTCCTTATCTGCAAGGGAAAATGAGAAATAAGGCATTAAGTTAATTAGCTTAGGGTAAGATGAGGACAAATTAGGGGTCAGGATGAGCAAAGAACCAAGTAAGCTAACAGTCCAGCAGGATCTATTTCCTTAAGCTATGTTACCTGATCCCTTGCTCAGTTACTGGAACAATTTTCAGGGCTTCTCTCATGATCCAGTGGCCCTCAGCGGGTCTTCATGGTAGAGGCTGGTTTTGCTTTCGCTCCTATGGGAGTCCTCACCAGGAACTACACAAAGCACAGAAGTGTTTGAAGTGAACAGGCCGGGTATTCTAGGAAGTTGGGAATGGGAAGGGTCAGTTAAAGCCTCCCTTTTAGATAAATCTGAATTCAGGTCCTTTCCTCCATTCACATGCATTTGTGTGTCATCACAGCTGATAGTAGCTTTTTTTATTTTTCTTTTTTTAATTACAAAAATAGTGTTTGCTACTTATAATAATAAACTTTGAAAATGTGTATAAAGAAAAAAAAAATGCAAGTCCTTTCTTCATGCCCCAACTTCCTCTCCAGAGTTAACTGTTAACAGTTTGGCATTCATCCTTCCAGACCTTTCCAGGTGGAAATGCTGTATGGACCAGTACGACTGTCCTCGTTGTTTTCAGCCTCTGTCCATCCTGACTGGCTTCTCTCCTGTCTACATAAAATGTATCATTAATTTAGGGGGAAACATTCTGCATCTTTACCCGTGATTTTGTCTTTTCATCAACGGTATAGTGTCTGTATCCATTTACCGTATTGGTGCTGACTGCTCCCAGTGTTCTGTAGGATGGTTGCGTTATCGTGCATTACGTGTTGCTGGAGGCACCTAGAGAAGGCATCTTGCCTGACAGATGTGCGATTCCTTTCATTGAAAGATCCTCCTGTCTTCCTCCTCCTTTAGAACCTGAAGGCAGCGGACACTGACCCCACGGCTCCTCCTTACGACTCTCTGCTCGTGTTTGACTATGAAGGAAGCGGTTCTGAAGCTGCTAGTCTGAGCTCCTTGAACTCCTCAGAGTCAGACCAAGACCAGGACTATGACTACCTGAACGAATGGGGCAATCGCTTCAAGAAGCTGGCGGACATGTATGGGGGTGGGGAGGACGACTAGGGGTCTTGAGACAAATGGGGAAGGAGATGGGTCCTTACACCATGTGGGGGAGAGTGCAGGGGTCATGGTTTTCCAGCTCCCTTCACTTGAGATGAGTTTCTGGGGAGGAGAGACTGCTCAGTGATGCAGTTAGGATACTTAGGATTACCACTTGATAGATCTATCTGTATTTTGACCTATTCTTTGAAGCTTTTTTTCTTTCATCATTCTTTAAATGGTGATACTGTCCAAAAGACATCCACACGTTTAATATTTCAAAAGAAGAGCTTCAGCCTCCGGAAGGTTCTGCTAGCAACTTGGAGGTTAGGTTCTGCTAGCAATTTACAGATTTCCTTACAAGCTTTCGTCTCATTTTTTTAAAGAAAGGGGGGGCTCAACTACCCTATTGTTGTGTGTGTGTGTGTGTGTCGTGTGTCTGTGTGTGTAATTATTTTTAATTTGTGTTCTTTCTTTCTCCTATCACTGCTCTGGTGTCCCCTGTTCTAATACCCACTGTTACTCCTTCTGAACTTATATTGCCCCAGACAGGAGTTCTCTGATGGAGAAATTGTTGGGCCCTTTCAGGATAGGAGACTTGGTCTTAGCCTGGCCAGAGTGTGACTGGGTATCATGGACTCGTAAGACCTTTAATGGTTCTCCTTTTTTATTTTCTAAGTACATAACTTGAAATTGGTGTCCATCCACTTACTTGTTCTGCATAAATATGTTTGTTATGTGTGTGTCATTATTGAGGTACTTTGGTTCTAAATAGGGAGCACTGCGCAGAAAAGGTGGTGAGTTTTCAGATGCCATTCAACTTCTAATGTTCATTTATCACTCAAAAGAGTGATCTCTTTCGACACTTAATGATGGTGCCTAAGTGCTGCAGCCAAAGACAGAAGGAGGTTTGTCACAGCTGAGGGCAACATGAGAAATGGGCTTGGAGGTGGCAGGAGAGATGTGTCATTGGGCCTGGCAATTTAGCAAACCGAGGCTGAGGATGATTGAGGTGGCTCTACCTCTAGTCCTGAAAATTCTGAAGAATGGAAGAATCTCAACATGTGTGTCCTATCAGGATCCTCCTGCCAGAGTTGGCACCTGAAGCCCAGAATCCCCAAGTGCCTGCTTTTGTTGATGCCTACAGAAAATGCTGGCTGATCTGGACACATCTACCCCAAATTCCAAGAGTTCGTAGAAAACCGAGGATGTTAGGAAATCCAATTTTTCCCCTTAGGAGCAGGAAGAAAATATGGCGCTAAAGGGTGCTAGCAAGGGGAGGGTGGGGAGAATTTTGATTTGGATCTTCTTTTAATTGAAATGCGAACTTCAAGAAACTTTTGACAACCACAGAAAATAATTTTATCTAAATTGCTTTACTGTCTGTCAGCTGTTTTTCAAAGGAAAAAAAATCATCCCTGCAATCAGGTCTTGGAATTCTCTTGATTTTTTAGCAATTTAAACTCTAACGTAGTCTTGTGTAGAGAATGTTACTATAGTTTCGAGTGTATACATGTGTGGGTGCGGATAATTTTGTATTTTCTTTGGGGGTGGAAAAGGAAAACAATTTAAGCTCAGAAAATTCTTAAATATTCATTTTTATAAATTTTATTAAAGAATTTTGTTAAACCATTGTCAAACACTTGTTTTATTTGGTTACACCACAATTCCAGGCAAGACCAGTGGTAGTTGAGCTCACTCAAAACGTGAAGAAGAAAACTTCATGTTGAAATGACTCCTCCAGAACTTGGTGTAATTCTCTTGAGGGCAGAGTGCAGGAAACTGCATTTAAAAGCTCACTTTATTTGGAGAATATCTCTCCGTGTGGTATGTGGAGAAATATTTAAATTCTCTTGTCAATGGAAAAACTGTGGGCAGAGCCGAGGGACCGAAAATAGAGCTTCCGACAACATTCATTCGGTCAGCAAAGTTTATGTAGTACAGCGGTCCACCATCAGGGAAGACTCTGGACCCCTCCCTCAGGGGACATTGGGCAATTTCTGGAGAATACGTTGATTGTCGTGACTGAGGAGGTGCTACTGTCCTCAGATCAAGGCCAGGGATGCTGCTAAATAGCCTGCAATGCATGGGGCAGCCATGTGCAACAAAGAACCATCAGGCCCAAAATGTCAGTGGTGCTGCTGAGAAACCCTGTTCTGTGACTTTACTCTGCTGGAGGGGTATAATCATATATGTATATGTGTGTATGTGTATATATATATATTTTTTTCTTTAAAGTGAAATACATAGATCTTCTTCGACTTTGATGTGGTTACATCATGATGTGGTTACAGTAAATTATCGTAAGTTGAGAACACGTCAAAAATGCCCTTAATATGCCTAATCCAGCAGACATGATAGCTTAGCCTAACCCACTTTCAGTGTGCTCAGAACACTTAACTTCAGCCTAGAGTGAATAAAATCATCTCACACAAACCATTTTATAACAAAGTGTTGAATAGCTTGTGTCATTTATTGAATATGGACAGTGAGAAACCGAATGGTTGTGTGTTGGTTGGTTACCTTCCTGACCGCAGGACTGACAAGCTGTGCCTGCCACCGCCCAAGCATCCCGAGAGTCCGTCCATATTTCACTAGCCCAGGAAAAGATAAGACTATGAAGGATAGTTTCAACTGAATGTGTTACTTTCCAAGGGTACAGTTCAGTGATACTAAGTACATCCAAAATGTGTAACCATCACCTCTGTTTCCAGAACCTCTGCATCATTCCAAACAAATTCTGTAACCATGGGCAATAAGTAACTCCCTGTTGCCTCCCCTCCCCTCCCAGCCCCGGTGACTTCCATTCTGCTTGCTGTGCTCATGAATTTGACTCTGCTAGGTATTTCATGTAAGTGGTGTCCTGTAATACGTATCCTTTTAAACTTGGCTTGTTTCACCTGGCCTCATGGTTCCCAGGGTATTGCAGCACGTGTCAGGACTGCATACTTCATTGTGTGTATATACACCATGTGTTACTTATCCGTTCATCTTGGGTTGTTTCTACCTTGTGGCTGTTGTGAATGATGCCGCAGTGAACACTGGCATACTGAAACTTCAATTCTGGTTATCTACCCAGGAGTCGAATTGCTAGGTTATATTGGTAGTTCTATGTATAGTTTGAGAAGCTGCCAAGGTATAGACCTAGATTTGGTCCAGGAGCGAAAATTGAAAATCCATAAAAGACTTTTTTTAAAGAAAAATTGGGCAAATTTTTTTTAAGATTTTTATTAGAGGGGTGCCTGGGTGGCTCAGTCAGTCGTTAAGCGTCTGCCTTCGGCTCAGGTCATGATCCCAGAGTCCTGGGATTGAG